TTCTCAAGCTTCACAACGCCAAACTGTAATATTCTTGAAGTATATTTTTAAAAGTTATTTCCTTTCCATCAGCCATCCCTCTCACCAGATTTTTTGCCACTTTATAGTTTCTGAGATAGATAGCGATTCTTTTTTTCCTCCAAGGGTACATAAGCAATTAGTTATAAAAATCTCACCCAATGGTAAACAGTGATGCCAGATGCTGATCGTTGCTTCTCTTAGCCGGCTGCCGACGACTTGCAAGCGAGCCCTTAAGCTGCTTGTTTCTGCCCGTTGGCTGATTAGGGAGTTTCCTGGATCGAACGGGGGTGGCTACCGCCGCCCCCCTGTGATCAACAGGCTTCCCCCCCAGTTCACCACCCCTCCAGGGTGGTTCCGAGACCCTATGGTGTCCCAAACAAGGTCAGAATTCAGCCCGGGGGACAGAGCTCTGTCCTCCTGCTGCTGTCTCATCGCGACGTCAAGCCGGAAGTCCCCCCATTGTTTCTTTATGTGCCCATGAACAGATCTGTGTCTTAATTTGTGCTTTGTGTACAAAGTACAGCCTCATATTTATTAACAGCCATCATAAATCAGTTCTTCAGCTTGCTGGTCAAGCTGGATCTACAAAAAAAAACAAGTCGAAGAAAAATTCAGAATGTACAGAAGTGGGAAATCTTTAAAGAAAAACTCTCAAAACAACTCTCTACAAATTGAAAGTACTTGGTGGCCACAGAATGTCAGTCATGGAGGCTGGGGAAAGTGCAGAGCAAGTGAAATGTAGTATTTTACAAAAGAGCCCAATGTAGTTGATGGAATGCTGCACAGGAGTACTTCACATTGCAGCATTTTGTTGCAGCATTTGTGGCTCATCTGTGTCAATTTCATATTAAAAATAGTTCTTCTAACTTAAAACAAACACTTTCACTTTCCCACTGAAACAGTGAGAATTCTGCAGTGCAGTACTATGCATTTTTATCTGGCATAGCATTGCTCTGCTGTGCTCAGTCATATTTATACCTAAGATCCTTGTCAAACACGTGTGAACACTGAGAACAAAGAAATTGCTCTTTTTCAGAAACGTTAATTTTTTGTCCATGCAACAGTTGCCATTGGTTTAATAAATTAAAACATCTTTAATGTGGCTACAGTTATGAAAAATATCAAATGTTAGAGACTGCCAACAGAAACTTTTCCTCTTTTTTCTGATATAAAAGACACTGTTATCATGGAATTGCAGGCAATATAGATGTCTTCTTTTTTCTAACACTTTTTAGATGACATTTGTGTTGTTTATGGGCAGCACAAATTTTTCTCAATGAAATTGTCCTCTACAGATTGTATCCAATTGACACTTTATTTAGACACCAAAAGTCTTGTTCAGGCATTAGTCTGGTTTCCTCAACACATCGTTGTTTTCTCCATACCAGTGTCAAATAATCTGATGACCATTTGTTCTGGTTCGTGTGGATATTCTCCACCTCAGCACAAACTTGTACGAAACCAGGACAAATACCTCAGTGATCACATGAAAAAAGCAACAGTGGATGGCGACAGGATTGGGAGCTTCCCTCTGAGCATGTTGAGGAGACTGGGTAGTCTTAACAGTTAAATTCAGGTGAAAGAGTCTTTTGACAATGTATTCTCGAAGGCTTTCACAGCCGGGATCTGATGGTTGTTGTGGGTTTTTCAGGTTCTTTGGCCGTGTATTTCAGACCCACCACAAAAATACAACAAATGTTACAGTCAGCAAAGGACAAAAGGGACCCCCTCACCACTGCAGGAGTATACCGGATACAGTACCTTACAGTTGTGGACAGGTATATATTGGAACCACAAAGTGCAGCATTCACACCAGAATCAAAGAACATGAGAGACACTGCTGGAAGAATCGTCAGTAGTAAAACATCCCCTAAAACAAACTGGACATGAAAATCTATTTCTGAATACTGAAGTACTGGACAACGCCAGCCATCATTATGTTAGACTGAACAGGGAAGCCATTGAAATCTATAAACATCAACAGAACTTCAACAAAAAGGAAGAAGGCCTAAAACTAAACACGGCCTGGCTCCCAATATTGAAAAATGCAGCCTGTAAAAGGTCAACGAACTCTACCCAGCCAAAAGGACCAGGGGTCATTCCACAAAAAAGACCAGCTAAGGACAGCCATCAATCACAGTAACAGATAATCTCTCCCTTCTTATCACAACAAAAAACATGCTGATCACCCTATCTCCTGAAAAAAGACAAAAGCTGTTCCCACAGTTATAAATACTCAACTATCCAACAAACACCAACAGAGCATGGGTAGAGTTCCTACTCCAGTCCTCTGAAGATGCTGGCCACAGAGACCAGTGAAATGTCAGGAAGAACAACCTTCAGAACATGGCCAAAGAACCCGAAAAACCCACAACAACCAGTCTTTTGATACTTTAGAAAAGTGACAGATTTTATTTGACATTAGATTTTATGGTCTGTCTTCAGATGCATTGGGCTATAGTCCAGGAAAGCTGATACCAAATAAACTTCCCTGTCTTTAAGGTGTCATAAGACTCCTTGTTGTTTCTGCTGCAACAGAGTAACATGGCTGCTTCTTTGGAAATCTTTTATTTCAGAAGGGGCAGATGAAATGTTATCTGTTTGCTATGAGATGAATGAAAGAAAGCTTGAATGTAGTACGCAGCACAATATTTCTGTTTTATTATTTGTACAGTAATTTCAAGTATATTATTTTTTCAGAGTCTTCACCTGGATTTCAGCAGTATTCAACTTGCAGTTTCTTTGAATAAAACGATTATGCAGCGAAGACACAAGGGATTAAATACTGGACTACTTTTACTCCTTTCTCAAATCTATCAAGTTGGACTTAACAATATTCCACCTGTCACCCTTGCAGCTTTGGCAGTGAACATATTTCTCTTTTTACAACCCCAGAAATCACTGGAAAAAACATGCATCAGTGTCACCGAGTGTATTTATGAGAGAGATTGGCATCGTTTATATCTTTCAGCATTTCACCATGCAGATGACTGGCATCTATATTTTAACATGGTCTCCCTGCTTTGGAAGGGAATTAAGTTGGAGAAGAGGCTTGGAAGTGCTTGGTTTGGATACATAATTGTGTTGTTTTCGCTGCTGGTTGGGGTTGTGTACATGTTTCTGGAATTTGCACTTGCAGAGTTGCTGAATGATCCTTCATATATGCGGAGCTGTGCTGTTGGTTTTTCAGGTAAGATGGGTTTGTTTGTAATATTTGTATTTTTACTGGAAATTCTAGGTTTTGAGGGATGGTACTCTTCATTTGACCAAAATCTGGGAGGCAGTGGAAGATAGGAGGGCCTGGTGTGCTCTGGTCCATGGGGTCATGAAGAGTCGGACATGACTTGACTAAACAACAACACTCTACATTTAGGTATTTGGGAATAAACTGTGTTCTTGAACACCTGAGAAGATAAGATTACTAATTCGAGAATTAATTTTATGTAATTGTAGGATTGGTGCTGCTCTGTGACCATACTTCTCTTAGTTGCAGTTTTTGAATTCTTTTATAAGGGAGACTTTCTCAGGAAAGTAAAAGATATAATGGTATAAATACATTACACTAATATACTTTATCTCATTGCAATACCTGAAAATAATGAGCAGGGGCTCTTGATCCTACAGAAGTGTATTGCTCACAACTGGACAATTCACAACCTTCCCAATATTGTTGAAGTGCAATCTGCACCTCACCAGAAGTTATGCTGCCTAGAACTGACAAGACAGAGCTGTTCAGCAATATCTGGAGGTCACAAGATGCCCATTTCTGACTTGGGATCTCTGTTTCTTTTTTTCAAAAAGAGGTGTTAGGAAGGCTTCAGAGTAGGGTGGGTGGCTTCAGCAGGTCCAGGGGTCAGTTTTTGTCTGTGGGATCCTCTGGGGCAGCACAGATGTCAGAAATGAAAGGGGGGGGGAAGGTTGAACATTGAGGTGGCCAGATATTAAATGATGCAATGGGGGAAGCTTTCAGCAATATAAAAGATAAATTGCCTCTCTTGGTGGCTCCTAGGAACAACATTTTCCTTTATTTTGTTGGGGGGAAAACATGCCTGCCATTGAGACCAATAAAACCCAAGGTCCCCAAAACAGCCATAAGAAACAGTAAATTGAGAGGTTCTAGCAAATAATGAAATAAGGTAATGCACCACTTCATGTACACCACCCCTAGACAGTAGATACAACTGAGGGAAAATCATCTGCCCACATCTCAAGCTCTAAATAGAAGAGGAGGCTACGCCTATGGAGAACAAAAATAATGTACCTTGCCGAATGGAGGAATACAGAATTACCAGGACAAGACTCTAGCTGGACCAGCTGGAAATTCACTTAAGTGACCTCAAAACGATGTAGGAAGCTCAAAGAATAATCAAGTAAAATAGGACTACTTTGATACAGAACAAATTACCTGTGACTGTGGAGAATTTCAATCAGCGCAGAACATGTGCATGCAATTTATGCCCCTCCACATGTATAAAAGATCTAGCAAATGGTTAAGATAACACTATTGAAGTTGCCTGCTTCTGGTCAGAAATAATTATCTTAACATTTTAATGTGTTTTAATTTTTCCTATATTTCATGTACCTCCATAATTTTAAATTGTGCAACACTGTGATATGAACAAAGAAAAAAAGAACCACAGGCTATACTTCGCCTGGTCTTGGTACTGCAAGACCAAAAGCACTATTACTTAATTTTTGTGAGCTCTAATCTGCTTAAATCACCCAAAAAGATTCACAGTATGTGAAAAATGTTGATTCCGAAGCTTGTAAATAATTCTCTTTTTGCTTATTAGTATTTTGGTTTAAACTACTGAAGGTAGATTTTGAATTGGTGGACTGAGGCGTGATGGGAAAACTGTTCCATTCACAAAACACTACAGACAAACTCACTAAGGATGTTAAGGGTACAAATCTCTATCCAATGTTTTCATACAGAATTTATGGTAACCTAGATTTTCAATACTGGTGCACAGAGCTGTCTATATACCAGTAATAAGAGAGCTCAATATCCTAGATATAAATTGATCTGTTTTATAAGAGAATACAGTGGTGCCTCGCATTGCGACCTTAATTCGTTCCGCAAATATCTCTGCAGAACGAAAACATCGCTATGCGATATTAAGAAGCCCATAGAAATGCATTAAAACACTATTAATGCATTCCTATCAGCTTAAAACTCACAGTTCAGCGAAGACCCTCCATAGTGCGTCCATTTTCGCTGCCTCTTAAGCAAGGAATACATCCCTAAACACAGTGGGTGGCCATTTTGTTTACCAGGTGGCCATTTTGAAACTGCCGATCAGCTGTTTTAAAATCATCGCTTTGCGATGCTCGGTTCCCGAAGTAAGGAACCGAGCATCGCAAAGGGAAATTCCCCCATAGGGAACATCACAACGCGATCGCTATTGCGATCGCAAAAAATGCATCGCAAAGCGATTTCATCACTAAACAGAGCGATCGCTGTGCGAGGCACCACTGTAGTCTACTTCCTAGCAGAGTAGAGGTTTGAAAGTACATTTACCATCCAGAAAATTGAATAGGTATTTGAAAACTACTCATTTCCAAAGATAGAATTTTGCTTGTGCTTCCACTTCACTTGGCACTTTTTCTAAATGTTCTCAGCTGTAAGCTAAATGATTGAGAATAGAAGGATGAGATCAAATAGTATTATCAGAAATGTCCTAGAACACTGCAAGACTCAGAACCTAAAACTATAGGTATTTTTGTGATACCTGAATTGACAAACTCTGCTTTCTGGATACCTGGCAAACCAGAATCTGAGACCACAGTCAGAAACCATAGTTAGTGTGAATGGTGCTTTTTTGTGGTTTCAAAATATGTATGAATCCCAATTAATTTATAAAATGCTGGTTGTTAAAAAGAGCAATTTCCTGGTAACTAGTTTCTATAAGACAGTTCTGTTTCTTACCTTTTTTAAAGCGAAATGGCAACCATTGCTGGTCATGCTAGTTTTTGGCTGAATAGATATTGATCCACAGATATGCTGTCTTTTTTCTGTGAGACCAATACTAAAGAAAAATTTCATGCAATTCAGTTACACTAATAGTTTTCTACTGCTTAGTCGACTATTAAATTTCTGTGATAAACTGTTGTAATACAATCTCATTCCTTACATCCTGAAGGATGTAAGGAATTTTTCAGGGGGCACAAAAGTCTCAACAGTATTCACTTTAGTGTCTCTGGGTTATATCAATGGTTACTTTGTCCTAATGGAAATTTCTTTGTGCCGATTTGGGTTAACAGTTTTCACTGATTACTCATACCTGTACAGTGGGGTCTTGACTTAAGAACGGCTTGAGTTAAGAACATTTTGACTTAAGAACCGCTCTCATAGGAAAATATTGACTTGACTTACATACTTTGATTTGAGTTAAGAACTGAAAAAAACCACGTGGGAGGCAGGGAAAGTGCAAAATTTGAACTTTCAGTTAACTGTTGGCCAGTGAAAAGGGTACCTGTCTGCTTCCTCACTCCTCCCAGCGTTTAGAGAGTGGATTGGGAGACAGTCTTCGGACTGCCTGGTACTGTACTGCCCGGACTGTATTTTCCCTGCCTTCCCTGAACCTTTCTTGACCTGAGAAAAAAAGAAACAAAATATCCCCCTCTAGTGGTTGAAGGCGGAATAGCAGCTTCCCATTAGTTTCTATGGACGGAAAAGAGCAGATACGGATCAAATGGTTTTCAATGCATTCCTATGGGAAATGCAGATTTGACCTGAGAACTTATTGACTTGAGAACCGCCTTCCAATACGGATTAAGTTCTCAAGTCAAGACCCCACTGTATTAAGTAGACCTCTACGCTATATCATATACAGTACTACCCTGTTCCCCCGAAAATAAGACCTAACCTGAAAATAAGCCTAGTGTGATTTTTTGGGATGATCGTAATATAAGCCCTACCCCCCAAAAAAGTTGAACACGATTGGACTAAATGTCAAGGGGAACCTTTACCTTTACCTACAGTAGATAGTTGTACATGGAAAAAAAATCCCCTGAAACTAAGCCCTAATGCGTTTTTTGGAGCAAAAATTAATATAAGACCCTGTTTTATTTTTGGAGAAACATATATTTTATTTATTTATTTATTTGATTTATATCATGCCCATCTGGTATATTTATACCACTCTGGTATATTTATACCACTATATCATGGTATATCATGCAAGAGTTTCCTAGTTTTGGGAGGAGCTTTTTTGTAAGGTGTAATAAGCTTTACCATGCATCAGCTGAATTGTATTATGCAGCTTTCATTCAACCATTTGATGCAAACTCCATCGGCTTCAATAACATTTGAAGTTAAGTAGGAGGATATCACCCACAGATCAAATGCCACAGAAAAGAGAAAAATCTGAAAGGGCACACATCCATGCTTGTTAGATTAAATCAGTATATTTTGAATGCTGAGATCTTCATGGGAGGTTTTTATTGCTAATTTAAAAAATAAATCCTGCTTCATAACATTGTAGATATATGTATGCATATTCAAAATAAAGCTCAATTAAGCTTAACAGGACATATTCCCATCTAAATGGACACAGAATTGCAGACTAAGCATATGGATTCTGCCCCCTTCCCCAAAAACTCAAATTATAGAATATTTTAGTAAACATTAATGTTTAAAGTGGTAGAAGCTGAATGCAATGGTCTTGTTCTTTTTCCTTTTTACAATTAAGTAAACTTCAAATGGTGCTGAAAAATGTAAAGAAAACATGCACACAGCTAGGTATTTCTACATCCTCGTCACTACAGCCTGTACCAAAATACATTGCTTTGTAGAAACTTTTTCTAGAGTATTCATTTATTTGTTTGTTTGTTTGTTAAATTTATATTTTGCCCATATAGTGCCTAGGCAGTACTCTGGTTGGCTAACAGTTAAAACACAACTACCCAATCCCCCCCCCACACAAGGACATAAATAAAGAGAACCAATGAACATTAATACCCAGCATGTCTAAAAAGGAGGAAAAAATGTATTTGAAATGTGAACAAACATAGATGATTGAGCTGAAAAGTAGAGATGTTTTTCTTGCTCTCAGAGAAAAAAAAAGGCACAAACATGCGGCACTTACGGTAATTTAAGGTGCCACATGTTTTTGTCTTGTCTTGTTTTGTCTCTTTGGATTTTGCCTGATATGCTTGCACAGACTAACATGGCTACTTCTTCCAAAACTACTTGCTCTCAGAGAAAACCCATAAAAATCCCATCTTGTTCCCCTTGTTGGAAGATTTCTCTGTATAACTTTTTTCTCAATAAATCTCCTGGGTAATCTGATAGGATTTCTCAAACATTTTGTGGTCATTTTTCTGGAAAGAATGGCACATTGCATAGGATTATTATAACTGCTGCACACAATTCTGCACAGGATTCACCTGGAAAGGACAGAAGAAGCATCAGGCTATGCAAGATTGTTACAATGCCTGTATAAAAAGCCATCTTACCTGTGCAGGTTTTCATTGAAAGGATGTTAAGCTGTGCAGAATTTGGTAATTTCCTCCACAGAACAATGTATGAAAAGAGAAAACCAACTGAAAAAAATGTGACTGGAGTCTTCATGGTAAGCCAGGAAATCTCAGTGATGCAAGGAGGTCTGCATATGGCATCACTGGGAAAATCACTGAGAACAAATTTGTCAGTAGTCATTGTATCTGGTCTTAGAAGTGTATCAAGAGCAATAAGTATCTATGCTCTTCATTATCCATTACCCAAGAATTTCTCCTGATGAAGTTTTTCTGCTTATTTTGATTTAGGAGTCCTATTTGCTTTGAAAGTTCTTAACAACTATTATCACCCAGGTGGATACAGCAACGTCATGGGAATTATGGTGTCCAGTAAATATGCTTGCTGGCTGGAACTTATAGCAATTCATTTATTAAGCCCAGCACAAGTGTACTAAAACCTCAGTTGCTTACTTTTATGTGTGTGGTGCTTTATTACAAATATGGTGTGGCAAGTGAAAAAAGTGATAGCCTTCCTTCCTTCCTCCCTCCCTCCCTCCCTCCCTCTAGAACAGCATGAGACTCCTTGGAATACCAAACTCTTAAACCACAGGTCATTTAACAGCCTTCCTTCCTTCCTTCCTTCCTTCCTTCCTTCCTTCCTTCCTTCCTCTAGAACAGCATGAGACTCCTTGGAACTCCAAACTCTTAAACCACAGGTCATTTAACAGTTAGGACCAGTACTTTGAATTGGCTTAGATTTACAGTGAAATCTAATGAAGATGACAAAGCATTGGCATTATAGGTTCATAATTTATAGGTTCGTACTCTCAGTTAGCCTTCCCACGGCCATGTTATATAATCCTTAAAGTTTCCAGGCTATTTTAAAAGGTATCTCCATGTATGCATTGTAGTAATCCAAATGGAAGATAACCTAAGAACCAGTCTAAGCTGGTAAGAAGTCCACCAAGCTAAAGAGGCCACTTGTTTCAGTAGCAACACAGGTAGATGAATTAATATCCCGAAATGGCGAAGCCAGTCCTTTAGGATGAAGGAATACCCCAGCTTGGTGGAACAGGCTGAACATCAATCTCCCTGGGATGGCAAACCTTCCATTATGAATGATTCAATTTTACCTAGATCCAACTTTAAACTAACTATGAGTTCAAGACTGAGATGAAGCAGTAGCAATACACTTTGTTTATTATTATTCCCCATCTAGATTCCTCATGAGACTGCACTCCAAATGCTTGGATGGCCTCACTGAGCAGTTTCATGTGAATGTCAAACGGTTCGAGGGATGAAAAATTTCCCAGCTTCAGCTTCTGGAGCTCTCTGTTCAAGAATGAGTAGAACCACTGAAGAACCATGCAGCTTACCCAATTCAGAGAGCCTCTTTATATATTTTTTATATTTTTATTTTTTATATAAAGTTTTATTTTTATAACACACACATACATACAAAACAAACAAAAACATAGGACAATCAAAAACATATAAAACAAACAAAACATACAGGCAAGAAGATACTGTATTTTTCGCTCCATAAGACGCACCTAGCCATAAGACGCACCTAATTTTTAAATACCAAAAAATAAAAGTAAAAATAAGTAAACAGAGCAAGTCCCACACTGGGAGTGCAAAAAAAAATATCCAAAAATAAACATTGGAGCAAGCCCCACGCTGGGACTGCAAAAAAAAGAAAAAATTACCAAAAACCAAAACAACACAGAAACCT